AGATGGAGTTTCACTCTTGTTGCCCGGGTTGGAGTGCAGTGGCGTGATCTCAGCTTGCTGCAACCTCCGCCTCCTGTGTTTAAGCGATTGTCCTGCCTCAGTCTCCTGAGTAGCTGGAATTACAGGCATCTGCCACGATGCCTAATTTTTGTATTTTTAGTAGAGTCAGGGTTTCAGCTTGTTGACCAGGGCTGGTCTCGAATTCCTTACCTCAGGAGATATACCCGCCTTCGCCTCCCAACATGCTGGGATTATGGGCGTGAGCCACTACACCAAGCCGAGAAAATTTTTTTTAAACCAATATAAATTGAAACGCAACATACCAAAACCTATGAGATACAGAAAAAGCAGTGATAAAAGGGAAGTTTATAGCAATAAATGCCTACATCAACAAATTAGAAAGATTCACATAAACAACCTAATGTACCTCGAGAAGCTAGAAAAGCAAGAACAAACCAAACCCTAAACTAAAAGAAGGAAAGAAATAATAAAGATGAAGCAGGCTAGGCATGGTGGCCCATAGCTATAATCCCAGCACCTTGGGAGGCCAGGTGGGAGGATAATTTCAGGCCAGAAGTTCAAGACCAAACTGGGCAACATAATAAGACCCTGTCTCTACAAAAAAAAAAAAAAAAAATTATTAGGCATGGTGGCATATGCCTATATTCTCAGCTGCTCAGGAGGCTGAGATGGGAGGATTTCTTGAGGCCAGGAGGTTGAGATTTCTTGAGCTGCAGTAAGCTATGACTGTGCCACGGCACTCCAGTTTGGGCAACAAAGTGAGACTCTCTCAACCAACCAAACCACCACCACCACCGCCATCACAGCAAAAGATCAGGGCAGAACTAAATAAAATAGGGTCTAAGCAAAAATGCAGAGGATGAAACAAAAGAAAAATTGGTTTCTTGAAAAGATAAGTAAAATCAATAAACTACAAACTAGACTAACAGTAGAAAGAGAGAAGACCCAAATAAAACCATAAACAAAAAAGGAGACAATACAGACCATACCACAGAAATACAAAGGATCATTAGAAACTATTATGAACAACTATATATCAGCAAACTGAAAAACCTACAGGAAATGGAGAGATTCCTGGATTCATACAACCTACCAAGATTGAACAAAGAAGAAATTAAAAACCTAAACAGACCAATAACAAGTAACAAGATTCAATCAGCACTTAAAAAGCCTCCCAAGAAAGAAAAGTACAGGACTGGATGGCTTCACTTATGAATTCTACTGAGCTTATAAAGGACACACACCAATTCTCCTCAAACTATTCCAAAAAATCAAATGGAGGGAATTCTTCCTAACTCATCCTGTCGGGCCAGCATTACCCTGATACCACAACCAGACAAGGACACAACAAAAAATGAAAACTATAGTTGAATATTCCTGCATAGAACAATAGAGAATCCAAAAGTCAAGACAAAAAATCCTGACCTAAATATTAATACTAACAAATCTATTCCAACAGCACATTAAAAAAGATTATTCACCATAATCAAGTGGGATTTGTACCAAGGATGCAAAGATGGTTTAACATATATGCAAAATCAATAAATGTAATATATCACATCAACAGAATAAAGAATAAAAACCTTATGATCATCTCAATAGATGCTGAGAAAGCATTTGATAAAATTTAAAATATTCCTAGGAACATATCTCAACATAATAAAGACCATATAAGACAAACACACAACTAATATACTGAATGGGGAAAAGTTGGAAGGCTTTCCTTTAAAAACTGGAACAGGCCAGGCACATGGCTCACGCCTGTAATCCCAGTACTTTGGGAGGCCAAGACAGGCAGATGACGAGGTCAAAAGATCAAGATCATCCTGGCCAACATGGTGAAACCACATCTCTACGAAAAATACAAAAATTAGCTAGCCATGGTGGTGCACCCCTGTGGTCCCAGCTACTTGGGAGGCTGAGGCAGGAGAATCACTTGAACCTGGGAGGCAGAGGTTGCAGTCAGCCAAGACTGCACCACTGCACACCAATCTGGTAACCAGGTGAGACTCTGTCTCAAAAAACAAACAAACGAACAAACAAATAAAAAACTGGAACAAAATCTGGCAAAAGAGAGAAATAAAAGGTATCCAAACTGGAAAAGAGAAAGTCAAATTGTCCCTCTCTGCAAATGACATGATCTTATATAGAGAAAACCCTAAAGATTCCATTAAAAACACTCTTAGAACTGATAAACAAATTCAGTTAAGTTTCAGGATATAAAATCAACATACAAAAATCAGTATCATTTCTATAAACAAATAAGCTAGCTGAAAAAGAAATAAAGAAAGCAAGCTTATTTACAATAGCTACAAAAAAAATCTAGGAATAAATTTAACTAAGGAGGTAAAAGATCTCTACAAGAAAAACTACAAAACACCAATGAAAGAAATGGAAGAGGACACAAATGGGAAGATATCCCATGCTCCTGGATTAAAAGAATTAATATTGTTAAAATCACCATATTACCAAAAGTGATCTATGGATTCAGTACAATCCCCATCAAAATACCAATGACTTTCTTCACAAAAACAGAAAAAACAATCCTAAAATTCATATGGAACTACAGAGACCCAGAATAGCCAAAGCAACCCTGAGCAAAAAGAACGAAGGTAGAGGCATCACACTATGACTTCAAAATATACTACAAGGCCATAGTAACCAAAACAGCATGCAATTTCTTTAATAACAGACACAAAGACCAATGGAACAAAATAGAGAACCCCAAAATACATTTACGTGTTTACAGCCAACTGATTTTTAATGAAGGTGCCAGGAGCATACATCAGACAGACAAAAGACATCCTGATGGTGGGAAAATTGGGTATGAATAGGAAGAAAATGACACTAGATCCCATCGCTAACCATATTTAAAAAATCAACTCAAAATGGATTAAAGACTTAAACATTAGACTCAAAACTATAAAACTACTACTAAACAGAGGAGAAATGTTTCAGGACATTGGTCAGGGCAGATTTTATGGCTGTCATTTCAAAAGAATAGGCAGTGCTTCCTTCAGCAGCACATATACTAAAATTGGAATGATACAGAGATGATTAGCATGGCCCCTGAATAAGGATGACACACAAATTCATGAAGTGTTCCATATTTTAAAAAATACATAAAAAAATACATAAGAAGAAAGCACAGGTAATGAAAACAAAAATAGAAGAATGGAACTATATTAAACTAAAAAGCTTCTGCAAAGCAAAGAAAACAATACAGAGACAATCTGTAGAATGGGAGAAAATATTTGCACTAATCATCTGATGAGAGACTAATATCCATAATATACAAGGCACTCCACAACATAAAAACAAATAATCCCATTAAAAAGTGGGCAAAGGGCCTGAATAAACACTTCTCAAAAGAAGACATACAAATATTCAACAAGTATATGAAAAAGTGATCAACTAGTCACCAGGGAAATGCAAATCAAGACCACAGTGACGTATCGTTCTACCCCTGTCAGAATAGTTATTATCAAAAATACATAAAATAACCAGTACTGGTGAGGATGTAGTGGAAAAGGAGCTCTTGTACACTGTTGCTGAGAATGTAAATTAGTTTTCCACAGCCACTATGGAAAACAGTACAAAGCATTCGCAAAAAAACTCAAAATAGAACTTCCAGACATTCCAGCAATCCCACTACTGGGTATTTATCCAAAGGAAAGAAAATCATATATCAAAGGAATACCTCTAGCCCCATATTTATTGCAGCATTGTTCACAATAGCTAAGATATGAACTCAACCTAAGTGTCCATCAATGGATAAATGCATAAAGAAATACTATTCAGCTATAACAAGAATGAAATCCTGTCATTTGCAACAACATGGATGAAACTGGAGGTTAACATTCTGTTAAGTGAAACAACCCAGGCACAGAAAGACAAATATATTTTCACTCACATATGGGAGCTAAAAAAAAAAAAAAAAGTGATCTCACGGAGGTAGAGAGCAGAATGATAGTTACCTGAGGATGGGAAAGATGCAAGGGCAGGGGCAGGAATAATGAGAGATTGGTTAATGTGTACAAAAATTGAGTTAGGTAGAAGGAGTAAGTTCGAGTGTTAGCACAGGAAGGTGACTACAGTTAACAATAATTTACTCAAAATTTCAAAGTAACTAGAAGATTTACAATGTTCCCAACACAAATGATAAATGTTTGCGGAGATGGATATCCTAAATACTCTGATTTGATCATTAGACACTGGATAAATATGTACAATTATTATGTATAAGAAAAAAAGTTTTTAAAAAAGAAATGTATTTTAAGTACCTGATAAGTAGCTGCATCTAGATTTGATAGTGCCACATACAGTAAATTATTCTGAAGAGTATATATCCCTGATGGAATAGCAAGTTTAAGTGTTTCCATAGGTTTATTAAGAATTTCATCATGTAGTACTCGATTCAGTGCTCTTAGGCTACATTCTAGAAAATAATAAGAGAAAAATCAGTAAATTAAGTAATTCTGAATAAGTTACATAGCTACTCTCAAGATCTCAATTTTCTTACCTGTTAAAAAAAGAAAATCGAGCTACACATCAAGATACTTTTAAGTCTAAAATGTATCTTTATGATGCTGATTTTTAAAATGTTAAATATTATAAAGTATTAAGAAACCTCATATTCTTTTATTCTGATAATCAAATTTATTATATATATTTACATATATATATATACACATACACATACAAACACATATTTCTGACAGCCAAAAGCTTAAAGTTTTAATTTATCAACCAAGTATTCTTAGTTTATTATAGCAATGTTATAAACACTTGTATTTTGTGCATTTCGTTTATCATCAGCAATTTATACCAATTAGTAATTGTGAAGATTTTAATCATAAAAAGAAAGTAAATCAGTTAGGGAATGGGTTTGGCTGCAAACAACAAAAACCCAACTAACACTAGTTCAACCCATCGGGTCTCACATAACATGAGTCCAGATCCAAAGCTTTTATGGCAACTCAGGGACCCAGGCGCTCTCTCTGTAAGCATATCTCGTTTAATTGTGCTTTGTTTTATTATACTTTTCATTTTTCAAATATTGCATTTTCTTCCAAATTGAAGGCTTGTGGCAACCTTGCATCAAGCAAGTTGCAGAGGCTGCCACAGTGTCTAGCTGTGAAAGGAGGGGCAAAGTCCCTGGGGCCGGGGGGCGGGGGGACAAAGAACTCTGAGAGAAGTGGGAAGGTGGATCCTGGAAGCAAATGAACCCACTCCTAAAAGTGACCATCAGGCTGTGCACAGTGGCTCATGTCTGTAATGCCAGCATTTTGGTAGCTCAAAGCAAGAGGATTGCTTGAGGCCAAGAGTTCAAGACCAGCCTGATCAACATAATGAGACCCTGTCTCTAAAAAAAAAAAAAAACAAACTTTTTTTTATATTAAATTAGCTGGGTGTTGTGGCATGCACCTGTAGTTCCAGCTATCTAGGAGGCTGAGGCAGAAGGATGACTTGAGCCCAGGAGTTTGAAGTTGCAGTGAGCTATGACTGCATAACTGCACTTCAGCCTGCACAAAAGAACGAGATCTTCATTTAAAAAAAAGTGACTGTCACTGGCTTGAAAAGAAACCAGATTAGCTCTGGCACAGGCTGCCAACAAGTAGTCTGAAAGAAGACTTGTTCTTTTACTTCTCCCACCCTGACTGCGAGCTTGAGACTGAGAAAAACTCAAAGTGGTGCCACCAATGGTCCTAGGTGCCATCAACCAGGCAGGAGAGGAAAAAAGAGAAAGCTGGGGCCAGGGGATATCAGAGTTATGAGGGACCAACCCCTTCTTGGTTGCATGAATCTCTCATACAGCATTATCTTTTAAAGACCTTCCAGTATGTGTGCTGGAAACCCTCTAACCCCTGCAGCCCACCAATATTCTAGGTTCAACTGGATTATCAAAGAGAGAGCAGGATTATCTCTTTCATGTTAATACAATGCTGCTACAAATAAAGCCTGCGTCTCTTCATATTACAAATTATTAAAATTATGTCCAAGAGAGGCATACTTAGAAAAAAAGAGAGAGGCATGGCAGAAAAACAGAGTAACTACATTAGAGTAGAATAACAGACTTTAAAATTTTCTGCAATATAATCTTGAGAAAATTCCTGGATGGTAAAATACGTATTAGATCTTCATACATGTCCAAGTTTTGGAAACCAAAATGTGCCTGGTATGTGATAATATCAACTAATCACTATTCTAAGATTCATATATGTATAATTATATATAAATATATGTAACTTTATAAAACCATATAAATATAAGTTTTATATATATCTATAAACTGTATATATTTTGGCTTTTTAATTTTCATGCTTTTCATCTACTGTCTATATGATTATTGCAATAGGGTCACCAAAGTACTGCTGCATCTCTAGTTCTTGTTTCAGGCAGCAAAAAAAAAAAAAAAAAAAGGAGAGGAAACAGCAGCTTAGCAGGTAACTTCTTGGTTCTCATTGAACAGAACTGTGTTGCATAACTACCCATAGCATCAAGGAAGCTGGGAAGTCTTTTCCTTTATTTCCTCCATGTTAGAGCCAAGTAAGGGAGTAAGGGATTGAAAATAAACTTTGAACTGGTCAACTTTACCGTATCAGTCACAAAAAATCAGCCAAAGATCTTTTGAAGATGCATATATAAATTCCTCAAAAAAAAAAAGAGAAATTCTAAAGAACCCTAGAATTAGTGTTCTAAGGAAGCTAGAATTATTCTAATTATTCTAAGGAACCCTAGAATTATTTACCAATAATGACACTTTAGACAATTTTTTCTCCCAATATACATCATTAGGAAAACTTTGATTATGGAAAGTTTTTTAAAATGAAAAAACTTTAAAATTGCTGCCTGATCACTCACCCTCTCCTCACCCCAAAATAATAGTTGAAAACTTCTTGGCCGGGCGCGGTGGCTCAAGCCTGTAATCCCAGCACTTTGGGAGGCCGAGGCGGGTGGATCACGAGGTCAAGAGATCGAGACCATCCTGGTCAACATGGTGAAACCCCGTCTCTACTAAAAATACAAAAAATTAGCTGGGCCTGGTGGGCCTGTAATCCCAGTGACTCAGGAGGCTGAGGCAGAAGAATTGCCTGAAACCAGGAGGCGGAGGTTGTGGTGAGCCGAGATCGCGCCATTGCACTCCAGCCTGGGTAACAAGAGCGAAACTCCGTCTCAAAAAAAAAAAAAAAGAAAAATTCTTAACGAAAAGTTACCAAAAGATTTTTTTCTTAGTTTTACCAGAAAAGAAAACTAAAATATTACCTTAATTTTATGTTATTTTATTTTTAGAGATGGGGTCTCACTGTGTTGTCCAGGCTAGATCCCAACTCTTGAGCTTAAGCAATCCTCCCAAGTAACTGGGACTATAGTTGCGCACCGAACCTGATTATTTTTTAATTTTTAAATACAATTTTTTTTTTGAGACGCAATCTCACTCTGTCACCTGGCTGGAGTGTAGTGGTGCAATCTCGGCTCACTGCAACCTCTGCCTCCCAGGTTTAAGTGATTCTCCTGCCTTACCCTCCTGAGTAGTTGGGATTACAGGCATGTGCCACCATGCCTAGCTAATTTTTGTATTTTTAAGTAGAGATCGTGTTTCACCATGTTGGTCAGGCTGGTCTTGAACTCCTGACCTCAGGTGATCCATCTGCCTCTGCCTCCCAAACTGCTAGAATTATAGGCATAAGGCACCACACCCAGCCTTTAAATTCAATTTTTAAATGATCAATGCTATCACATTTTTCTTACGAGTATTTTCAGGAAGGTCTGGTTCCACATTCTCACTAATTCTTTGTATAGTAAAGATCTTTTATTTTTGTCAATTTGAGGGCAGTGAAATTGTGTCCTGTGGTTTTAATCTGATTTCCTTGGTGGCTAGTGAAGTTGAGCATCTTTTTATATATTTATTGGCCATGCAGGATTTTCTTCCGTGAATTACCTGTTTATATCCTTTGTCCGCTTTCTATTAAGTTGTCTTTTTCTGATTGAGTTGTAGGAATAATTATAATTCTGGATATTAATTAGTGGTGGTTACATGTGATATAAATATCATCTCAATCTGTGACTTGTCTTTTTACTTGGTTTGATTTACAAATGTTTTTCATTTTAATAGACCCTAAATTATCTATTTTTTCCATTATTTGTACCTTTTGTATGTTGTTTGAAATCATTCACAGTAGTAAGGTCATAAAGTTTTGTTTTTCTTTTTTTAAAAACGGAGTCTTGCTCTGTTGCCCAGGCTGGAATACAGTGGCCGATCTCGACTCCCTGCAACCTCCGCCTCCCAGGTTCAAGTAATTCTCCTGCCTCAGCCTCCTCAGTAACTGGGATTACAGGCGCCCACCACTACACCTGGCTAATTTTTGTATTTTTAGTAGAGATAAGGTTTCACCATGTTGGTCAGGCTGGTCTTGAACTCTTGACCTCATGATCTGCCTCCCTTGGTCTCCCAAAGTGCTGGGATTACAGGCGTGAGCCACCGTGCCCAGCCAAGTTTTGATTTTTAAATGTCAATCTTTAATCCACCTGGAATCTATTTTTCTGTATGGTGTGTCTATTCATGCTTTGGTTCACTGAAAGTTGGTTTTACCACATTTTTACCACATCTCTCTACCATGCAATTATTTGTGTCAAAGATATCTTTGGTTCCACAACTTATTAAATGCAGTTAACACTCCTGCTCATCTATACCTCAGCAGCAAAAACACTACTATCTCAGCTTGGCTATTACATTTCCATTTATCTTTCTGTTTTGCTTCAGTCTTCTTTTGCTGATTCCTCCTGCGGAATCTGACCTCTAAATATTGGGAATGCAACAGAGCTCAGTCTTTGGCCTTCTCCTCTTCTAGCATACCCTAGGTTATTTCATTCAATCCTTGACTTTAAAGCAATATGTAAACTGACAAATTATTGAACTCCATATGTATAGACTCTACAACTTGACATCTCAATGTGAATACCTTATAGCTGTCTGAAACTTAATATGGTCCAAAAAGAAGCTTTAATTTTCCCCAAATCTATTTCTATCTATCATTCATCACAGCACCTATCGCAGCACCTGTTCACCCAATAGTTTAATCTAAAAACTTAGCAATTATTCCTCAAACTAGATTCCTCCTTTCTTCCAACTTTCATATATTCAATCTTTTGGCATGTCATGTCAGATGTAGTTAGAAAGAAAATACACAGAAAGGGCTGGGTGCAGAGGCTCACACCTGTAATCGTAGTACTTTGGGAGGCTGAGGTGGGCAGATCACTTGAGGTCAGGAGTTGGAGACCAGCCTGCCCAGCCTGGTAAAACCCTGACTCTACTAAAAATACAAAAGGTAGTAGGGCATGGTGGCACGCACCTGTAATCACAGCTACTCGGGCAGGAGGCTGAGGCATAAGAATTGCTTAAATCTGGGAGGTGGAGGTTACAGTGAGCCAAGATCGAACCACTGCACTGAAGCCTAGGCAACATAGTGAGACTCAGTCTCAAAACAAAAACAAAAACAAAAATAAAACACAAAAAGCCAAAAAAGACCACCATAAAACTTCATCATTAGTTATTAGAGAAACACAAGTCTAAACCACAATGAGATACTACTTTACACCTACTAGAATGGCTATTAAAAAAATAAAAACTGAAAATAATAAGCGCTGGTGAAGATATGGAGAAATAGGAACCTTTGTACTTTGCTGATGGAAATGTAAAATGGCCCAGTTGCTATGAAAAACAGTTTGATGATTCCTTAAAATGCTAAACATAGAATTGCCATATGACAGAGCAATTCTACTCCTAAATATATACCCAAAAGCAATGAAAACAAGGACTCAAACAGATTCTTGTACATCTACTGAGGCTGAGGCATTACTCATTGTTCTTTCTAGCATTATTCAAAGGTGGAAACAACCTAAGTGTCTGTCAACACATGGATGAATAAACAAAATGTGCTATGTCCATAAAATAGAATGTTATTCAGCCATAAAAAGGAATAAAGTTCTGATACATGTTATGTGAATAAACCTTGAAAACAGTATGCTAAGTGCCAAACCTAAAAGGACAAATATTACATGATTCTATTTATGTGAAATATTTACAATAGGCAAATTCACAGAGGCAGAAAGTGAATTAGAGGTTACTCGGGGCTGTGGGTAAGGGAGAATGGAGGTTATTACTTAACAAAGTTTTTGCTTGAAGTGACAAAAACATTTTAGAACTGGATAGTGGTCATTGTTGTACAACATTGTAAAAGCAATGACTAAGTGTACAACTACAAATAGTTAAGATAGCAAATTTTATGTTATATGTATACACTTTACCACAGGTTTAAAAAATTAAAATTTAAATACACTAAAAAACCATTAAATAATATACTTTAAACACATAAATTATATGGCTCATGAATTATCTCAATAGAACTATTTTTAAAAACTATATAAAATTAGTCACTGCTGGACTAATCAAAGCAAATAAAAAGAAGGTGTTTACATTAGTAAAAAAATTATTATGATTTTTCTAAAGTTCTAACAGTAACAGAATTATAAAATTTACTTTTACTCTCAAATTATTATAAATGCAAGAAACTATTTCATATTTACTGAATTAAACAGAAGATATGAATCATGATACAAATTAAAATAAAATGCCTTTATTACAAGACTTAAAATGTCTTAAGAAAATTTTAAAAATATTGAAATGTTCTTCATACTAGGTAGGCCATTCAACAATGCAAGAGTGCAAATGTGCAGTTATCAACATACATTTGTAAACTAAATAAACTGCAATGATTAAAAACAAAAAACCTAGATACCTACTGCTGTCTTTGTAGACCAATAAAATGCAGGCCATTATCTTCAAAAGTTCAGCAACAACCACTGCTGTAGAAGATAGATAACGAGGTCCTTCCTCTTTTAAAGTTCTAGAATAACGCATTGTTAGAACCAAACTGGTAGTCTGAAAGACCAAAATTCCCAAGGAAAGGTATTTTAGGTTGGTGGACATTGTTTTATCTTCATTTGCCTGAAAAACAAAATAAACAGGGCAAATAAAGAACATTACAACATATGAAAACTAGTATATTAAAAGACACTAAGAAGGAGAAAGGAGAGGGCCTGCAGGTCTCTCCTCCACCTGCCACCGAAAAAAAAAGCAAAAAAAAAAAATCCAGAAACCAAGAGACTTCTTGTTCCAACGAAGATGAAATAAGCACAATCCACCTTATTCTTTCTGCTAATTGCAACCAAAAACCTTGAATTGGAAACAAAAAGCAACTACCAGAAGACTCTGAAAGGTGAAGAAAATAAGGCAAATTGGCTAGGGACGTCAAGTCTTAAGGGATGACTACAACAGTGAATTCCCTAGAGATATTTTTGCCACAGATGTAAACTACTTTGGGTGCTACAGAAACCTACAACCTGAAACTGCTCAAAGGCATAGAACAACAACAACAAAAGCCCCAAGAAAAACATACTCTCTCTAACCAAAGTCCTGAGAAGACAAGAGAATCTTTCAGGATAAAATCCCTTCAACTGGTTACCATGTATTCAGGAAGACAGAACTTTACTGAGCATCCTCATCTTGAACCAATGAGAGCGGAGGTGGTGGCCCATAGCCCTCCCATGCTAGGTTACAGCCACAGAGACTGTGGGACAGAGTCCTGCTGACCATTCCTGCCTGATAGAAGGCAAATGTCTGCAAGGAGTGCCTTTCCTCCCTCCCCAGTGGCTATTAACATAGAAGATTTAAATAGAAACCAGAGTCTCATAATATAATATGCAAAAAGTTCAGGAAACAATCCAAAGTAAGTATACTTATTAAACCAACAAACAGAAAAAATGTCTCAGCTTGGATGAGTAAGGACAACCAACAGACAACAATGCAGACATGACACAGTTGTTGCAATAATCAGAAAAGAATTTCAAGCAAGCTATCTTAAAAATACAGCAACAAGCAATTATGAAGACTTGAAATAATTTTAGACTCATATAGTTTAAAAAATAGTACAAGAATTCACATGTACATTCACATGTACCATTCACCCAGCTTCCCCCAATGATAATAATTCAAAATCCCTATATTTTTCCAATTCAGTATTACTCCAGGAGACTTACTTTAAATATGAAGACATATATAGGTTAAAAAATAAAAGGATAGAAAAAGATATATCATGAGAAAAAATAACTAAAAAATTAAAGGAGTTTTATTAATATCAGCCAAAATGGATTACATAAGATTTATTTCTGTAATCAAAGAAGGATATTTCATCATGATAAAAGGGTCAATACATTAGAAATACATAACCATTTTAAATATGTATGTGCCTGATAACACACCTTCAAATACATAAAGCAAAAACTAACATAACTAAAGGGGAAAACAGGTAAATGCAGTCGTAATTAAAGATTTTTAGCCTACCTTTCTCCATAATTAATAACAACAAAAAAGAAAACCCAGTAAAATTATACAAAGTCTGAAAATCTGAACACTATCAACCACCATTACCATGGTAGACATAAAAATGATCTACCAGATTTTACTTCAAGGAAGGACTTAATACAGAGTGTGTAACACCTGACTGCTTTCCTAGTCAAGATCACATCTTTTGTCTTAGATTTATCTGAAGATTCAATTCAATTTTGAACAAAATCCCTGTAGGCTTTTTTGGTAAACAAACAAAAACACAAACTAAGCAACCTGATTTTAAAATTATATAGAAATACAAAGGACCAGCCGGGCGCGGTGGCTCACGCCTGTAATCCCAGCACTTTGGGAGGCCAAGGCGGGTAGATCACAAGGTCAAGAGATCGAGACCATCCTGGTCAACATGGTGAAACCCCATCTCTACTAAAAATACAAAAATTAGCTGGGCATGGTGGCGCGTGCCTGTAATCCCAGCTACTCAGGAGGCTGAGGCAGGAGAATTGCTTGAACCCAGGAGGCGGAGGTTGCCGTGAGCCGAGATCGCGCCATTGCACTCCAGCCTGGGTAACAAGAGCAAAACTCTGTCTCAAAAAAAAAAAGAAAAAAAAGAAAAAAAAGAAATACAAAGGACCTAGACTACCAAAACAATTTTGAAAAAGAAAAACAAAATTGAAAAAGTTAAGCTACCAAATTTCCAGACTTACTATAAAACTATACTAATCAAAACTGGTATTGGCATGAGGACGGAAACATAGATCAATAGAACAGAATATAGTCCAGATTTATATCCATATGTCTTGTCAGCTCAGGCTGCTATAACGAAGTATCACAGACTGAGTGGCTTATAAACACAGCAGTTTATTCCTCACAGCTCTGGAGGCTGGAAGTCCAAGTATCAGAGTGTCAGCATGGTTGGGTTCTACTGAGGTCCCTCTTCTAAGTTCACAGATGTCTGTCTTCTCATTGTATTCTCACATGGCAGAGAATATAGAGAGAGTTCTCTGGGGTCCCTTTTTATAAAGGCATTAATCTCATTCATGAGGGCTCCACTTTCACGACCTAATTACCTCCCAAAGGCCCTACTTCCTAATACCATCACATTGAGAGTTAGGATTTCAACATGTGAATCTGGGGAGGCAGGGGACCAAGAGAGGAGAAGAGCACAAATATTCAGTCTATTACACCATACATAAATAATCAAACAATATTTGACAAAGGTACAAAAAAAAAGGATAGTCTTTTCAACAAATAGTTCTGAACTGGAATAATGAGATATATGTATTTTTTAAAAATAATCCTCTACCCCTAACTTACTCACACCAAATATTAACTAGAAATGGATAATATAGCCATTACAAAAGCTGAAACTATAAATATTCAATAAGAAAACACAGGGAAAAAAACTGTAATCATGTAGAGATAGGCCAAGAGTTCTTAGGATACAAAAAGCACAAACCATAAATGAAAAAGTGGATAAATTAGAAACATTAAAATTTAAAAATGGGTCAGGTGCAGTGGCTCACACCTGTAATCCCAGCACTTTGGGAGGATAATGGGGGTGGATCACCTGAGGTCAGGAGTTCAAGACAAGCCAGGCCAACATGATAAAACCTCAACTCTACTAAAAATACAAAAATTAGCTAGGCAAGCTGGTGGGTGTCTGCAATCCCAGCTACTCAGGAGGCTGAGGGAGGAGAATTGCTTGAACCAGGAGGCAGAGGTTGCAGTGAGCCAAGGCTGTGCCAATGTACTCCAGCCTGGGCAACAAAAGTGAAACTCTACCTCAAAAAAGAAAGATATTTTTTCAATAAAGACAAATGAGTAGCTAATAGACATATGAAAAGGTGTTAAACATCACAGTCATTAGAGAAATACAAATTAAGACCACAATGCACCTATTAGACTATCTAAATTTTAAAAACTGATACAAGCAAGTGTTGAAAAGGACTTAAAGCAAACAGTCCTCAACACTGCTAGTGAAAACTGTAAAATGGTACAACCACTTTGAAAAAGCTCATTAATTCCTTATTAAAAGAAAACAGCACTTTGGGAGGCTGAGGCTGGAGGATCACTTGAGGCCAGGAGTTTGAGACCAGCCCAGAAACATATTGAGACCCCATCTCTACAAAAAATTTAAAAATTAGCTGGGTTTGATGCTACAGGCATGTAGTCCCAGCTACTCAGGAGGCTGAGGCAGGAGGATGGCTTGAGCCCAGGAGGTTTGAGGATATAGTGAGCTATGATTGAGCTGCTGTATTCTAACCTCAGCAAAAGAGAAAGACCCTCTCAAATAAAAACAAAAAGAGGATAGGAGACAGAAGGGAAGGGGAGGGGAGAGGAGACCAAGGGAAGGAAGAAAGGGAAGGGAGAAAAGGAAGGGAAGAAAGGAGAGTAGGGAAGGGGAGAGACAGAAGAAAGGGAAGGAAGAGAAGGAAGAAAACAGTAACAATCTTTTCATATGACCTGGTAATTCCACTCTTAGGTATACCCAAGAAATTCGAAAATATATGTTCACAACAATATTTGGACATGAATATTTACAGGAGCTTTATTTGTAACACCAGAAATGAAATAATCCAAATGACCATAAATATTTGAATAAATGAACCTATGTGGTATATCCATACAATGGAATAATACTGAGCTATAAAGGAATAAAATACTGCCACACTAAAGCACCCCCCCAAAAAGTCAAAAACATACCGAGCAAAAAACTTTAAACAAAATAGTATACTGTACACTATATCTTTCCATTTATATAAAATTCTAGAAAAAACAAAGTTAAACTATAGTGACAGATGCAAACTTATGGTTACCTATAGACAAGGGCTGGGGTTGAGGGTTGACTGCAAAGGGACAGCAAAGAATTTTTGGTAGTGGTAGAAATACTCTGTGTGGTGGTTACATGATTGAATTTATTTATCAGAACTCACTGAATTGTAGATTTTTTTAAAGTCTACATTTTTTTTTTTAAATCTACAATTCCAGGGTACAATGGTTCATTATATTCAATGGGTACATTTTATTGTATGTAAATTACAACTCAATAAAGTTGATAAAAAGAATTAAAGATTGAGGTCATACCAAATAATAGCATTCCTCACCACGCTTTCTTCACAACTTTAGTTCTAGCTCTGATTTCTTTGGATTAATTCTAAAGATATTCTGCTGGTCTACTCTTCACCCCCTCTCCATCTTTTCCATGAATCTAACTCCTACCTAAATTTCTTCAAATGTGAACCTGTTTATAGTGTGTCTCTTTAGAGCTCTCATAACCCAAGTTATCAAGCTACCAGTTTGCTACAACCAAGCTACCATGGTTTATGCATGGTTATATATATGTAATCCTTAACTCCTAATTATTGTAATATATATAATATATTCAAATGGATTCGACAGTAATTATTTCATGCCTACATTAGGCTAAGTACCATAGTTACAGAGAGATCTATTCTTAAAGGCATAAAGTCTAGCTTACTAAATTCGGCAAATCCTAAATATGCTCCAAACACGAACAATGAGCACCATGAATATAAGGATAAAATTCTTAATGGTAAAATATGTATATCTACCATTAAATATACATAGATTATAATTAT